AAACCTAAAACCCCTAAGCCCTAAACCCGTGAACCCTTAAGCCTTATAGAACAGCGAGCTTTGGGTCGACTCTCTCCGGCTGCCCCGATTTGAAGAAGGCGCGACGGGTGCCTAGCTACTAAGACAATAAGTTCCTGACGTCGGCACCAAGAGGAAATCAAGGACCCAGGGTTGAGGGTTTAGGCTTTAGGATTGAAGGCTTTAGGGTTTAGGCTTTAGGGTTGAGAGGTTAGGGTTTTAGGCCGTAAGGCTTCGCTTAAGTTTAGAGGTTACGGATTTCTGGTTTGGGGTTGAGGGTGCTTTGGTGTCTCAAGCCACCAAAGAAGCGCCGAGGCCTGCAGAACTTACATAAGCCCTGAAGTTGCAAGGACCCTTGCTTCGAATGGTTAATTCTAGGGCTAGGGGAATCCAGGGGAGTGTAGTACCGGCATATCATTGGGCTTAGGGCGGCTTAGGGCTTAGGGTTTTGGGTTTTTGACACTCGCAACTCGCACAAGGCAGGCAGTTTACGGCCAATTTTTGCCGCCGGACAGCCTAACCCACAAAACCTCTTCATCTTCGCACCCGCTCAAAAAAGCCGCTGCACAGCCAGCTCGGGCCTTGTTCGAAAATCCTCGGTCTTCGGAATCGAGCTAGGGCAGGGTACACCTAGACTCGACGTTGAGTAACTGACTATGAGGGCAACATTTGGGGAAACTCGTTTCTGCGGGCAGCGGGGTGTGGAAAGACTGGGAAAAAATGCGTGCAGCTGCAAAGTACCACGGATTTGCAAGTTTCATCTGAAGTATACCTATAGTCTCCATTGTAGTTCCTTTTTTGGCTTAACCAATTATATTATATATTGAGGATTCTATAAGGTATCCCCAAACAGGAACTACAATGGAGACTACAGGTAGGCTGGCGTATGGCTTATGATCCGCTCGCTGTTCCTAAACCCTAAACCCTAAAGCCTAAACCCCAGGGGGGTGGATCATAAGGCATACGCGACCCTACAGGAGATTCACGAGCTCTACACTTACAGTCTCTACAACCTCAGGGCTCCGAGATGCAGAGAACCCGATGATTCAATCAGGACCTGTCTCGCCTATGTGGGCCCTCGGTGGCCCCAAACCCGTAACACACCAAGGCGACGGCTGCTTAAGTTTGGGTTAAGTGTTGCAGTCACATAGGGCTTATTTCACGGTTAAGGGCTTCGGCTGTAGGTGTGTAGGGTTTAGGGTTTAGGTATTGAAAATGAAAGGTTGCAGAAACACCTACATATTGCATGCGTAAGATGCAGGCCTCCCACCTAGCAGGGTCCAGTCAGAGAGCACAGCAGATATCCCTCCACTAGCATGCACGACAAGGCGTTCCATGGTTTCCCATGCCACATGAACTTCCTGCCACCTTTAGCTACAGCGTCTTGACGAATGAAGCTATGACATACTTGTCGGTCAAAAGGCTTGTCTAAATCTAGGTTCGCAAGTAGCCCCTAAATATAAGGGTACCCTTTTTCCTACTGTTTGGTTTTATTAAGAGAGTCCAGAAACAAAAGGGCAAAAGGGTACTACTGGGGAACCTCGAAATTCACTGCCTCATGGACCACCGACTCACCGACCCTTTTTCACCGAGGTCGTAAGACAGAGGCCTCTGTGAAGCCATAAAAACCCAAAGAATCTGAGCCCTCAGCCCTAAACCTACCTGTAGTCTCCATTGTAGTTCCTCTTTGGGGATACCTCACACAATCCTTAATATATAACTGGTTAAACCAAAAAAGGGGAACTACAATGAAGGCCAAAGGTTAACCCTAAATGCTGGGGCTTAGGGCTGTCCTGAGCGAAACCCAACCCGCCGGGAGCTCAAAAACCCTTGACCTCCCAAAAAGGGCCCGCTTACCTCTAAAGCGGGTTAGGGTTTAGGGCTGGTTAGGGTTTAGGGCTTATAGGGCTTAGGGCCAAACATAAATGAAGGGCCTTAGTAAGTTAGAATGGGGTTTTGGGCTTACGATAATAGAGATCTGGGGGACTATTCAGGCGCTAGCTTACTGGGCCATGCTTACTCAGCTCCTGGTATTTCGTAAAAAGGGTTTAGAGTTCAGACTTTAGTAGTTTAGGGTTTACCTGTAGTCTCCATTGTAGTTCCTTTCTGGGGATACCTTATAACAACCTTGATATATAATGAACTGGCTTAACCAAGAAAGGAACTACGATGGAGACTACAGGTAGGGTTCAGGGTTCAGGCAGATCAAAATACCCTCTTTTAACCCTTCCAATTACCCCTTATACAGTCTCATAAGGCCCCTATGTAACCCCAGGGTACCTTTTAAGGGTTTATAGGGAGCAGCAACCCACTACGTAGTGGACCCAGCCCTGGCTTCGGATGCTTGGAGTCCAAGGGACGCTCCCAGCAGTGCTTCTGCAACTTCGCCCGGCGCGGCCCGGGCACAGGCAGCAGCAGTGGCGTTGAATGAGATGACATCCTTGGTTGGGGTTTTAGGTTGAGGGCCGGTTGCTGGCATTGGCATGTTCATGAGCGGCTCGTACTTGCAGCTTCTGCAAGACGATTGTGCTTTGTGATCTTCTGTTGCTTTCACCTACTTTAGTCAAGCAACCTTTTTGTTATCTTGCATGCTTGGTATGCATGCAATATGAAGCCCTTGCGCTTGCTCTGCTGTATTTGCCTAAGGGACTGTTTGCCGCACATGTTTTGGCGATTTGAGAGTCGCGCCTCTTTGTTGTCAGAACATTGTCTCTGCCCTGTATGCTGCTTCTCCATCTAGGTTGATTGCAGCGCAGTGGGCGGAGTGGGCAGCAGCGGCAAGCATTCACGTCCGTTCATGTGTGAAGCAGGAGCTTGGAAATCTTTGCAGACGTGTTGCGGCTTCCGGACACCGGACAGCCTACACTCTAAGTCTTTTGTCAAATGCAGTGACATGCCGTCAAAACATGAAATGCCAAAGCAATGGCGTAGGAGCATCAATGATTCGGGTCAGGTTCTGAGGTCGGGTGTACTGTAGTAGTATAGCAAAGAAGCCCACATCCACACCACATGATACCACAAGGTGTTACTTCTAAATGCTATGCCCCTAGGCCCCTAAGCCTAAGCCTGAAGGTCTTTACCTCTACGGCAGGCCGAAGGTCAGAGCCTAAGTCAGCATGTGGTATCGTGCGAGGCATTAGGACTTATCGGGGTTTGAAATCAGGAGCTGGTCTGAGTGCTGGCCAACCGGCCAACCTGCGTCCTCAACCATACATGTCCTGTCCGTGGTCGTCAGCTGATGGCTTGATCGTCTATAATCAGAATTGTTGTTATCATCATTACTATCCAGGGAACCGAAGAAAGGGACTGGCGTCGGCTGCTATAAGTTTATAGTAGCCCTGAGTAGACTTTCTATGATCCCATGACGACCTGTATATGCAACCCTATCCCGGCAAAAACGACTACGCCGAGGCTCACGCTCAATGCTCGCATGCTCAAGGTCATCTGAGCACAGCACACGGGTCAGAGTTGCTAGGACAACTTCGGGAGTTTCATGAGGGGCCTGCTCTAGGGTTCAAAAAGGGGACCCTGCCGAAAACCTTTAAGAGGACCTCCCTGATGTACAGGAACCATCAGAATTGTAACAAGCACACTCTCCATCTTAAGAATCATCACTCATCCAACCAATCACAACAGGCACAACATGAACCCTAAACGCTGAACCCTAAAACCCTAAAAACTAAACCCCAAAACCCTACACCTGAAATTCTAAACTCTACACCTTAAGCCTGAACCTGACCTCGCTGGCGGAACGCCTCCAGGAATCCTAAGTTACATGTTTCGGCTGGGAGAATGGCAACAAAGGTCTACGGCATGCGTGGGTAGTCTGTATAACGTCCCTTTACCCCTTTTAAGCCTTGAAACCTGAGGCCCTAAAGACGCTAAACCCTTAACCCAAACCCGGAGGGCGACGTCGGGGCGAACACAAGCGTTTCTTCGTGGCTCTTGTGACAAGGGCCTTAAGAAATATAAAATGGGGCTGTTGCCTTATACTTTGCATTATACTGTGCATAAGGAAACCTCCGGAATAGTATTGGTATTACCCGGGCTTCTAGATTCAAGATGATACATTTTGCCTGATCATTGCCGGGTCGAACGCACCGACTCCCAAGACTTCCCAAACCGGTTGAGGCTTAATGCGAAGGATATATGGCACCTGAATCCCAAAGCCTTGACCCTACTGCTTCAACCGCAAACCCGGACCCTATAAACCCTGAACCCCTAATCCCTGAACCCCAACCCTAAACCCTAATTCCTATAAACCCTGAACCCCTAATCCCTAAACCCCCAGCCCTAAACCTTAAACTCACGTAAGCACCAAACCCTCTCAAGCCCCGGACCCTACTCAGACCTTGGACCCCAAACCCTTGAAGGTTTTCTTAGCGCTTCTCTTGTACGACCGACGGGTCCGGGCGGCCAAAGAATTGCAGAGCCTGTTGCCAATCGCTTCTCTTCCTTGGCTTTCAAGAAGGCTTAGTTTAAGGCCTCTAGAGCAATGTCTAGGGTTTAGGGACCAGAGAACCCTGAACCCTAAGCCATAGATTGACTTGATGCAGGGCCTGAGCCCCTCCCCTCCCCCCCCCGTCACTGCGTCACACCACGGAACCCCCAAAATAGTATAGGTAATTCAATTAAGGCCCCTATATTGGGTTCCTGGTCTCTTGGCTTCTTTGTCTCCCCCCTCCCCTGGTTGGTGACTGTGGTGTTCGCGGTTGGTTAGGGTAGGCAGGTACACTGTTAAAGGACACTACAGGTGGGGAGTTAAGGGTATATAGGGCTTCTATAAGCTA